TCATTGGAACGCTGGACTGTAATGGGATGAGCTGGAGACCAGTTCGAAGTGTGCACAAAGGGAGTTTGTTTGGTCTTCCAAACCATGGCCTTGTGTGTTTACTAGAGGAAGAGGATCTGGTTCTTGTCCTACTACCCTACTGACCTTTCTCTAGACTCTTGCTTCATGTGTATATGTATTGATTCTTCATAAAAACCTCTGCCAGCTCTCCCTCCTGGCCTGTCGACGCGTTCTCCTGGCTTGGGAATTGATGTTCTTAAAATTGACAGAATTTTCAGCGGTCGGTGAGTCTCGAAGCAGTCTCCATGCTTTTTTTTGTTGTTTGCGAGCATTGCGGCACTCGCTGTTCCACGAGGGGACTCGTTTTCTGCCCAGTCCAGATGTTTGTGGAATGCACTTAGCTGCAGCTTCAATAACAAAAGCAGTAAAGTATTGTACAGCTGCATCGAAGCTAGAACCGCATATGTCAGTCCAACTTAAGCTAGCAGTCTTGTAAAACTGGTCCCAATCGGCTTTTTCTATCAGCTATTCGGGAACCTGTGGAGTACTTTCATTTGGTGCTGCTGAGCTTAGAACTACAAAATAGTGGTCACTTCCAAAAGGATTGTTCATGACTTTCCAGTGAAGTAGTGGAAGAGGCGATGGAGATACAATGCTTAGGTCGAATGACGAGTAGGTATGGTTAACGAGGCTATAATATGTTGCCTCTTTTCTATTGAGGAGACACGCGCCAGAGAAAAAAAGACGACGTTCAATCAGACGACCCCGTGCATCGTAGCGCGAGTCACGCCACAGACTGGTATGTGCGTTAAAATCTCCAAGGAGAAGATACGGTTCTGGAAGTTCATCAATTAACGTCTGCAATTCTCGTTTACTAAGCTGGTATTGAGGAGGTTTATGAATAGAGCAAATTGGGACCAGTTTATTCAAGATAACGGCTCAGACGGCTGCTGCCTCAAGAGATGTCTGAAGTGGTAAATGTGTAGAGGCAGTTCCTGGATCCACAATAATGGCAACACCACTGGATGACGCGACTGCATCATTCCAATCCTTTCGAAACATAGCGTAATAACTAAGAAAGTTTGCGTGTTTCGGTTTCAAGTGTGTCTCTTGTACACACAGCAATTTTGGTGTATGTTTGTGTAAAAGTTCTTGAATATTATCGAGGCTTCTCAGCAGTCCTCTGACGTTCTACTGTAATATTTGTGGCATTTTTAATCTGTGTGGTGCTGTGTGTATAAAGGTGTTCCCTTAGGTTACAGGGTCCTCAGGAGGCCCTGTAATTCGTAGTCTTTCTTTTTTAGTGCGCTCCAAAAAGCTGAGCCTCTCCTTCGGCATCTAGGGTGCCGGAGTAGTCGTACTTGTATCCATTGCCTCTTGTGAGGTGGTGGATGGTGCCTGCTGGGCAGGCACATTCACAGAACTTCCGGACCTAACTGCACTTGCAGTGGTCGGAGGTCCGGCAGACTGGGGAGTCTGCTGGCCCTGTTTGTTAGGTGGAGTAGCAGTATTGGCTGCTCAAGCCGGGGGCGCTTGTGGCACGCCCGCAGTCTCACTCTGTGCGACTTTTCCGGGCACGGAAAGATACGACGCGGCGCCCCGGCGGGTCAAATCGGCGAAGGAGGGACTGGACTGATGAATGGAGAACCGTTTACATGCTTCTTGAAAGGACAGATTGAACTTCACTTTAATTTCAAGAATTTGTTTTTCTTTCTTCCAGATTGGGCATGATCTCAAGCAGGCAGCATGATCTCCTTCACAGTTCACACAGCATGATGTTGTTGAGGTACAGGTATCTGATGCGTGCTCGTTGGATGCACAATTCGCGCAAGTAATGAGCCCTCTGCAACTTTGTGACCATGTCCAAAGCGCGAGGGTTTGCGAGGGTTTGGACATGGGTCACATCTGCGAGGGTTTGGCACATAGGGCCTGACACGTAGCTTGCAGTAGCCAGTTTCAATTGAATCAGGTAAGTCACTGGTACCAAAGGTGATGATTATGTGTTTTGTGGGTGTTTCTTTTTTGTGTCGTCTTATAATTATTCTTTGGACCTTGACTACATTCTGGTCTTGCCAGCCTTCCAATAATTCACTTTCGGACAGTCCAAGCAGGTCGTCATCAGAGACCTCACCGCGAACTGTATTCATTGACCTGTGTGGTCCCACTGAGACTGGGACATCCCCAATGCTACGAGTTTAGGTAAGTTGTCGTATTGGAGCTTGTCGCAAACCTCCAAAAGGAGGTCGCCGCTTCCCAACTTCGTTACACGATATCCTGGGCGGATTGCTTCGGTGAGCGTTTTCGAGACAAGAAAAGGTGAGATTGCTCGGACTGTTTTGTTCTCTTTCTGAGTATGCACGACATGAAACTTGGGGAAGGACTGCTTTGGTTTGGAAAAAAGAAACGGTTTTTCGGTGTGCCACCTTTTCAGGTGGCAATCAGGGAGAGGGGGAAAAAGTTGGCCATACAGATTGTGTACAGTTCGGTGGCAGTAGTGGCCACCCACCACCTAGCCCAACAAGGGGACGCTACAAGGTTGAGCAGTGAACACTTGGAGACGCCAGCCATGCATCGCCGCTATAACCGAATATAACTACCCAAGGTTGGGTAACTGCACAGGGTTAACCCTCGCCGCCAGAAAATTGGAAAACTGGAAAAAGAAGATGGCAGGACAGATAAAAAGTGAGAGATAAAGACGAAGATGTAGGTAGAAGAGAGATGGGAAAAGGCGACTCCCGATTTCCCCTGGGTGGGTCAGCCCAGGGGTGCCATCTACGTGAAGCTGGGGCCAAAGGGGTGTGATGCCTCTGTTGCGGGGCCTTAAAGGTCCAATCACCCAGCGTCAGCTCAACCCCCCTCCCCCCCCCCCCCCCCCCCCGGATCCCCTTTTCCCCGGACACAGCAAAGCCACGCACGGCTGGGCGTGGGAGGGAGTCAAAACCCTCTTGTTAGCTCGGGTCCGTTGTGCTACACACCAAACGCCTGCTTGCACAGACGCACCAGCGGGGAACCTTTTAGGGCTTCCTTCACAAGAGGAAATGGAAAAAAATCACATGGGGAGAAGTCAGGTGAGTATGGTGGATGGGAAATACAGTAATGCTGTGCTTGGCAAGAAATTTTGTCACGCTGAGAGCACTGTGCGGCCTAGCGTTATCGTGGTTAAGGCTCCATTGTCCAGATGCCCATACATCAGGGCGACAGTGTCGCAGTACATCAAGCATGTGTTGGAGCATGTCGATATATTAATCAATCAATCAATCATTTTATTTTCCACTTCAGCAAGCAAGCATGGGAAAAAAAAGCTCCTGCGAGCTTGACTAGGCTTCCCAGCCAGTTACAGTTCAGCAAGCAGTGATAGCATAAAGAAACTGACATGTGCAAATAAAAGCACAAAAAAAAACATTTGTTATTTTTATGCATAGTCACTGAAAGAATACTACACGTACATAGAATGTAGGAAAAAAGGAGTACAACAAAAAAAGCACAAAACTGACATTTCAGTTATCTCACAAAGAAAGCATGCAGCACAGGCCTGGAAGATCAAATACAAAAACCATTTTGCAATAAATGGTTTAATACAGAGGGCAAAGATATTTGTAGCATCTGGGCCCCGTAGTTTGTGCATGGTATTCTTGTTTCGTACTTTTTTCATGAACCATAAAAGATACAAAGAAGAATATTCAGCTAACTCTACTAAATCGGCCAGCATTAAAATATTGTTCTTTACTTCATAGTGATAGCAAAGAACAAGGCCCAAGTTGTAAGTTCTGAAAACCATTGGGATATCAGGAGCTTGGAAAAGTTGTGCGGAGAATGATCTCTGCCTAAGTTGTACGTGATGCGTAACGCTTTTTTCTGTAGAATGTGGAGCATCTTTAAGGCTGCTCATATAACTGCTCATTCAGTGCGTGCCCTTGTAAAGCAAACTTCTGGTGTATGACACCGCTGGCATTGAAAAAAAAATAATTATCAGCATATTCTGTGTTAGGTGTTCTATAGCCGCACCTTTCCTGACGCCGGAGAGCTTGTTAACTGCCGTTCGGTGCTTTGCACTTTTGTTTGAGGATCTTATTGAAAACACCTTGCTTTGTCTTCAGCAATGTTTCTGTCGATGAATGCAGCATCCTTCTCTGCATCGGAGAGCAAATCAGCACTCTCTGATGCCCGCGTGTCTTTCTAGTACAGTGTGAGAGAGTCCAGCACAAGTCCTGCATTCAGCGTTCGTTTCCCCAAGTTCTCACGCAAAATTTAGTAGCATGTTGTCTCACTAATGTTGAGAGCATGTGATAGCATACAGACTGCAATAGTGCAGTTTTGCTGTATGAAACCTCATTGTTTTCATTCCTTGAGGTTGCAGGGCGCCCCTGCCTTGTGTCATCTTCCATCGACGTGCTCCCCAAAACGAACCTCTCGAGTTACTCAAAAACTTGTGCCCACGATAATGTCTCATTGCCGTCAACGTCACGAAGGAACTCATACGCCTGTGTGGCTGTCTTGCCAAGCTTCACGCAGAATTTTATGTTTACACACTGCTCGAAATGGAGTCCATCTCTCCAGATTTACTCAAAGTATAATGCGCAGACCACTAGTGACAACATATTCTTCTACATGTAGTGCCGCCCAGCGGCTACCACAGCAATTAACATAAATAGTTCACGTTAGCCCGAAAAGTTCCTGCTACACATACGCACCAATATTTGTTTCGGCAAACAATATCTAGATAAGACAATAAATCAGCATAAAAGCTTTGCAGAGAAAGGTTGTATTACTGAGGATGTTTTTTGTGATCATGAAACCAGCCAATGACCGTGTCCCGATAGGTGCCTAGTCAGCCCCTTTAACCATGTTTGCCAAACGGGGGTAAAGCGAGCAATTTTCACCCGTTTTTTGGAAAAAAAAAAAAAAAAAACATAGTAGCCCATTCCTTGCTGCATGCTGTGTAACAACATTTGGTTCACATGTTCACAGTATTCACAGAGAAAAAGACTGCCTGTACTTGCCTGGAATGAGCAGTCCAACACCGGACCCCTGTGATTGTATTTCGCACGCATGGTGTTGCTAACCACATCATATAGGCGCACTGTTCTATCCCATGAAGACACTAAAAGAAACTGGTTTGATTTGGGACCAAAGTAGAGCGATGAAATCGCATCTATAGGGGGAATGTGTAGGCGGAACTCATTAGGCACCTCTGCCATGGTGGCTTGAAGTCTCCTGCACAGAAGAAGCAAAGAAAAAAAAACTTATTGTGATGCCCTTAGTGCACCTTCTTCACTGGACATAAACACCTGAACACAATCGGTCATGCCTGTTTCTCATGGCAGAATTTCACACATGCAACATTACAACACACTGCAGATGTGTCATCAGCTAAATGCAGCCAACTTTTCAATGTTTCCCAGCAAAATTGTTCGTGAGGCATGGAACCAATAGCAGGAATGCAAATTATGGGACAATTGACTAACAGGTTTGTTTGGTTTTGTTTGGGAAAGTAATGATTTCAAACAAGAAGAGGCTTCACAAAAACAGCTTCTAGCATGCTTCACAATGTCTATACAGTAGTGCCCTGGGTGAGTCTATGCAGACAAGAATTTATAATGATAGCAATATGTGCAAGTGAACTAGTAATTCAAAATCGCCATATGCGAATAACATAGCCCTGAAAAGTGCAGAGCAAAATGAACTCATGTTAGAGTGGCACTGAGATGATACCGACGTAAAGTGATGCAGATGAGTGGACATGTCTCTAAAAAACAAAGCTCTGGAGTCGCATAATGCACTGAGGATTGATTTGCGGTGACGCGTGAAAATTAATCTACTGATTTCTTTTCATGGGTCTCAGTGAGTAGCCGATACTGGAAACACTCCTTGGCTTGGCATCATGCCAGACAATGATGGATGAAATTAATGGTAAAAGAAATGAATTGTTACAATATTCAGCCACTGGCATTTTTTCCCAGGCAATGCAACATTTAGCTATTCTACCTCCACAGAGCAGGGCTGCTTATTTGAAACAGAGCACACTTCTGCAGCCACCATGACAAAGATAAAATGCATAATGTCACTTCTACTTCACCACAAGTGCATTTACTGGGAGCTTAAGGTCCTCCTTTGTTCAAAGCGAGGGCATATGTGCTTTAACTCCCGATCCCGCCAAGACTGACTGGGTTTCACAGCTTTCTTATTAAATCCTATTTTCTGTAAGCCCCACTTTCACCCCCCGAATGTAGAAGTGATTGAAAAATATATCAGTGCAAAATTTTAATTAGAAAAAATTTGAACATGTCTCTAATTGTCTCGAATCGGCCATCTGTAACTGGAGCATCACTAGTGCAGTTGATGTGCAACTACTACTGCCGATTTCGAATCCAAAAAAAGTATATTGCAAGTAAACTTTTCGGATAATATTCCATCCCCATCAGAAGCTACTTTGCATCATTTGTCCGCGCTATGTCTCGCATGAGGCTACAATTTGGGACCGTATAGGCAATTAAAGATCAAGAACTGGCGAGGTTCTGTTTGGCGTCTTATACCCCAGATGCCAGACTTTGGGGTGGGGTGGTTGTCAGATTGCTGTCAAATTTGGCGAAGAAGTTGCCCCTGTAGTTGTGGCTTCTCTGTGAGAGTTTGGTGTCGTCCGCGGTGCATTTTGCGAGTGCGTAAGCAACGTTGGCCGTTTTAATTAACAGAATGAATGTAAAACGCGCGTTGCAGAAGTCGGGGCGCGTTCTCTTGCTGTGTGCAATTAAGAGATCGCGTCTCAGAGTTAGGGAATCAACGACGCGTCCAAAAACTCGCAATCGAAAAATTTCAACGGAAGGAGATTTCTGCGCGCTTTGTAAAAACACACATGGCAACGCCTCGGATCACATTTGTGACACAACGAAACGTATTAAGTCATTTCAACGACTTTAAGCAATGTTTTCGCAATTAATTGAAGGCCGACTTAAAATAACGAAAGCCGGGCGGATAACGTTCGCTGTGTCAACGCTGAAACTACAAGGTATCAATGATGACGCCATCAAACGCGAACACGTAAGCATGCTGAAATAAATGCAACGTATTTAGTAACTAAAATGCAATACGCATCGAAAATTCACGCGGTGATAAGGCAAGACAAATTTGAAAATATACCCACAGCCACAAAGCACAACTTGCGCTAACGAAAACAACGATGATGCTGACGACAAGGCCTGACAAACCTTAAGACTTCTTTTTTTCAAGTTTGCAAGCGCTAGTAACTTATTTAAATTTCAGTTTATTTACACACTGAAAATTTACATAATTATGCATTGAACTACAATTTATATTTAGTTATGTTGTATTTTTATAAAACTAAAGTTATTTTCAAAAAAAATCACGCTCAAACTAGAGTGACTGACATCTGTTTCGGCGCTGCTGTACGCTGTCTCGTCGAAGGGGTAGACACGGTATGCAGTGCGTGTGGATGGGAAGAAGAAACTGCCGAACACTTGGTAATGTTCTGTAAAGGGCTTTGCCCTATAGTTCAGGATGATGGCGCAGAGTTTTTCAAAGCACTTGGGTTTAGGGACTGGGAAGGCAAAATAGACTTTAAGTGGTTAGAATTAACTAGAAGCAGGTTATATGATTGGTGGCTAAAGTCAAGGCACGAGTGAAAATTAAACGCTTTACTGCAAAGTACAAATCTTCAACCTCACTTTTTAAAAGGAAAAAAAAAATAAATATAATTTTTGGTTCATTAAAAATTACGGCTTGGTAGCGCTAGCCACCGCTCAATCTAAAGGGTACAGCCATATTCATCCATCCATCTATTCATTGTTCTAGAGTTTTGCTGGTCCGTTTGAACTTCCACACATTTCAAAACTTCAAAGATGGCGCCAACTTTAAAAGCTTGCCGACGAGGAGTGAAGGGCAATGACAAAAGTGAGAACAACTTCGACTACCTTCGATTCCTGAGTGACTATAGCAAGGAAAGGCTTCGAAGGAGGCGCACATTATCGGGACGGAAGGTAAGGCGTTCTTAGTAGTCTAAAAATATGCGGGGCACATGGCCGGCAGGTTGAGAACGTTGCGGCAGACTGCTCGAATATTTGCCCGATGCAGTCTCACTTTTTGAAGTGGCTGAGCGTTGCCCGATGTAGTCGCACTTTTGAGAAGTGGCCGATTTATTGCGTATGAGGGTTCATCACACGCCAATGATTGCTAAGATTGTTCGCACTTTTAGCCGTGTTTCCTGCGTAGTTGTCACCGAGTTGCAATTAATGCCATTTCGTGCTCGAGTGTCCTTGCCCGAAGCTACAAACGCGCCAAACAAATCAAGATAGATGCGCTGGACAATGACACTTTTCTCGCTTTGTGTAGTGCATTAATTGCGCGTAAAGAAGACCGCATATGCTGATAATGGACTTGTCCGTTGCCAGTTTTTTTTTTTTTTTTTTTTATGATCGCATGCTGTCGTCAGTGTCTCTTACGTGATTGTCTGTGCGGTGTTGATTCTGACGCGACCTTGCTTGTATGTTATGTATTCCAATAAGACTACCCCAAGCAAAACAGGTCGCGACATGTGTCGGTCACAGTTGCAGATCGGGTGATAGCGAATTATTCCGTCAACTTGCATAGATTGAGATAACACGGCACGGACAGATAGGCAAGCCACTTGTAACGATGGATAGCTGCCCAGTTATCATTATGGGCTAAATCACGCAGAGTTTGAACACAACAGAACATTATTGCAGCCGAAGTGACGAGACCATGGTGAGGGGCAGGGCCGCGTCGTCTCTCTGAGAGTTCGAAGGGTGGCGCCACATACTTAATGTATGTACTTATTGCTCAGCTGCGCCGGCGCAGTCGTGGCGACCACGAATAAATCTGTGCCGTTTGCCGCGGCTGAAAGGGGAAAACAACTTTATGGCGGGACCAATATGGCCCGCATTCACAAAGCAACCTTTTCCTTATCTCGTGTTTTCGTTGAATTTCTGTCCACACTACGTGTGTTATTAAGGCTTGAAAATGGCAGCAGGGCTAAAGATAGCTACAGGATTTGTCAGTGAATACCGGCATATTCCGTTTTTTTTTTTTTTTTCAAATTCCGTCAAGGCACAAAACAGAAAAGGAACGTGCACTTTAATAAAAATTGGCGCCGTATCTGCATGTTCGACTGCAAATATCGTCAAAAGACAATAGTCTTCCGTCTGGAGAGAGTGAGTGGAATGAAACATTTGATGTTTTGCGCGAGAAAATTAGTAAATAAAATTCTGAAGGCGCTGCGTAAAAAATGAGCGCCATCTGGCGGTGGTCTCAGAAAACGAATAGATGCCGCAGCTTGCGCGCACAATCGTTGAGGCCATATTTTGTAGATTGCATAGTAGGTGGCAGCACCATATTGTTAATTGTTAAAGCCCCTTTAGTTTTAACTAGAGTGCCTCGGAAGTGAAAGAGTGCATGGAGGAAGACGATAGTAATAGCGCGAAAACAGAACGACGACACAGAGACAAGAAGGACACGAGCGCTTCGTGTCCTTCTTGTCTCTGCGTCGTCGTTCTGTTCTCGCGTTATAATTATCGTCATGTCATACCAACTAGCCCAAGCTGCCACACTTCCAAGTTGCATGGAGGAAGTCTAGTTTTAGTAAAGCGTAGAAAACTCGCCTTTTCGTGCGTAGCGTCGAATTGTCAGCGCCGCTTAATAAACGCTGCAGTTCTTAGAATTACTTATGTATGTATTTTCTAGCATAAATAAACACGCCGCAGAATGTTGGCGTGTTGATATTGTGCCTAATATAAGCGCAATATTTGCTTTTTAGTCGACAATCGCACCATAATGAACGCAGAAACTTGAGCATTATTGGTGGGCGCTGTGGATGTGGTCATACATAAGCCGTTTCGGTTGACAGACTGACAGACAGACTCGAATTTTTCCGTTGAAGTATCCCAAGAAAGACTATCGTCTGTAATGATACTTGTAGGTTTTCAACGTCCCCAAACGAAGATGCGATAATCAGACACTTCGTAGTGGGCTCTGGAAACTTCGACTACCCGGGGTTCTCCAACGTGAACCTAAACTAAATACGCGGCCGTAACTCATTTTCCCCCTCTATAGAAAATGCGATCCTGCGGTCAGTGCAAGTTGAAAGAAAATCACTTGGTTGAAATTTCTGGAGCGCTCCTCTACGGTGTGTCTCATAAATTAACCATATTGTGGGTTTGGCATGGCACGTAAAACCCCATATAATGTTACGATGCGTTTTTTGTCACTGCTTCTATGTGCAGTAGGAAGCATTGATGTAAAGCGTGCCATAGCGTCAGACATATATTGTTACGCAACAGTTAGTGCTGCCTTTATTTGGCGCTGAAGAGGCAGCGAACCCATAGATCTCACCCGAAACGAGACCCCACAAGCGATAATGAAGAACGCCGCTTGATGACGAACATGTACGGACAACGAAGTGCCTAACTCGCACACGTACAGGGTTTTTTCGCATAACTCGAGCGAAATACTTTTAAAAAGTAGTTAACCGCAGCTAAATGAAACCAAAGGTTTGTCGTCATGTGGCGCTTTTAGGTTTTTTATTAGTTCATTAACCCTTTGAGAAATCATGGGACGAATGTGGCTCACCTTTCTTCTTTGTCAGTAAAAGCTTCCTCAGCCGCTCATAATTGCTATCAGCTCCTTGATTTCCTGTGTGTCAGAAGTATTTAAGAAACAAGGGGAAAAAAAACAATTACGCCACCTCCCGCTAGATGTGAAGCAGCGGGTGCTAACATTAGGTAGTTTTAGAATAGCGCGCCCTTGCGGTGCGGTCGCTGCGACTACGCATGTCTCGTAACGCGAGCCGCCGTTCGCGTTGGCGGCCCGCCCGCTGAAAATTCGAAATAGCGTGCGGCCCGCGAAGTGCTGTGCGTAGCTTCCGTGCATTTGGGTTTGCGGTCGGGGCGAAAGTCCTTATACTTTTCCCTAGGTGGAGCAAACTCTATTCCAAAACTCATATGGCGCCCTGTATGCCCGCAGCGCCTGCAAACGTTATTCTAAAACTAGCTATTTACACTGGCGGCGAGACGCTGACACCCATCGTGGCTTTGCGCTGGAGAGAAACCTGGGGAGGCGCAAAGCACGCAGTGATGTACCGGTGTTTCCTACTGGAACATGCCAATCACTGCTAATGGGCGGTAAGGGACACAAAGGCTCCGACTGGACACACGAGACCCGCAGTCCGGTTTTAGTTAATGCGCACGCTGCGAAAGAACACAGAGGAGAAATCTCCGGTTGTGTAGCGCGAGCAGTCCGTTTTTGCTATCAAGAAACTCGCTATAGCAGACGCTGCCTGCGTCGGCGTTGCAATGCGAAAGAGAAGAAGCGTAGGAGAGGAGAAAGAGGGGACGTGAATGTTGGAGAGAGGGTTGAGAAAGAAGGTCCGTTCGATTCGCCTGCACCGCGTGAACCAGTTCACGAGGTGCTGCAGCTTGCCATTCGTTTCAGCGGTGCAGCATTGACGACCGCTGAACCCTGCCATTCGTTTCGAAAGGTGCAGAAGAGGTGCAGCACCGGTTCACAATTTTCCTGCACCTCCTCCGCTGACGGTGCCGGCTTGGTGCAGCCGCGCGTGCAGCTGAGCAGACGACGCAGCACTTAGACGTAGGTGGCTTAGGCGCCGTACCTGCCTCTACAAACGCGCTGTGTATTTTCAAGATGTTTGCGCCTCATAAACTGTCCGCATGTGCGTTTCGCCATAAGTCAGTGTCTGATGAACGGTGTAAATTAACCGAAAAGAAATAAGGCCAGCACCTTGTCGGCACATCGTCATTTGTTTCGGGTGTCGTGCTCTGCCTGCACCGCTGAACTCACGCTGCACAATTTCTGAACTTTGCGTGCACAGCCGTGAACCGGTTCCGACCGGTGCAGGTGAATCGAACGGACCTAGAGTTGCGCGTGTGTAGTGAAGTCGAGCGCGGTCGCGAGATGCTCCCCATCTAAGATATATTCCGGACGTTTGCGATGCATGGTATCGGTGAAACGTTCAGTTAGTTTTGGTCTGTTGAACGTTTTTGAAACTGATGTTTTACCGCGTGCAAGATAGCTAAAGTTCTATATTTATGGTGTGTTTCTCTCTTGCTGGATTTTGAGAGAAGTAGTTCCAGCATGAAACTATAGATTTTGTTCCCTTACAGTTGCAGTAAACCGACCAGAGATCGTAACTTGAATGAAAAATTAGACACTTTTCTTTTAATGAGGCACTTTTTCTTTCATA